CTGCCACCTGGCACATCAGCTCAGAAAGCCGAGCTCATAGCTCTGGTTAGGACATTGCAGTTAGGGTGGGGTAAGATTCTCAACCTATATACAGATTCCAAATACAGGTACTTTGTTCTTCATGCTCATGTGGCTATCTGGAAAGAAAGAGGGTTACTAATAGCTCGAAACTCCTCCATTAAGTATAAAGAGCTTATACCAGAACTCTTAGAAGCCGTACAACTGCCAAACAAGGTTGCGGTAATACACTGCAAGGGACACCAAAAGGGAAACCACTCAGGTTGCCCTGGGCAACAGCAAAGCTGACAAAATGGCTAGGAGAACCACCCTAACTTTAAAACCTGAACAAATACTGAGCCTATTCCCTAGAAGCCAGGTTGTGGATAACATGCCACAGTATGGCGCAGAAGAGTGGGACAGAGCTAAAACACAGGGTTACAAGATGAATGCAGCTGGGTGGTTTGAAAATGAAGAGGGAAAGATTCTGGTTCCTGACTCTATGATATGGTAAGTTGTAAAGAGTCTTCACAACTCTACCCATTATGCACAAGAAGCCCTGACTAACTTGTTACTAAAAGTGATACGAGGGAGACATGTAAGAAAAGTAGTGGGACAAGTTGTGAAGGCCTGTTGAGATCTGCCTCTGAAACAACCTCCAAAACCATCCAATTCCCCCTCCACTGGCTCGACCAGTTCAACATCAAGGAACATAACCCGGGGAGGATTGGCAGGTAGATTTTACTGTAATGACCACATAACAAAGATATAAGTAGTTGCCTGTCTTCTGCCCTGGGCATAACTTACAGATTACACACTGCTTGGTACCCAGAATTATCAGGGAAGGTAGAAAGGATGAATGAGACCCTGAAAAAGATTCTAGCCAAGCTCTGTCAGGAGACCAGAGAAACCTGGCTAAGACTATTGCCAATAGTCCTTCTAAGGGTAAGAACAGCACCTAAAAATAAGTTAAAACTTAGTCCCTTTGAAATGATATATGGAAGACTGTTTCTAACACCTGACCTTCTTTTTGACTCCAACACAAAAGAAGCTCTACATTATCTTATAAATCTAAGACAAGTACAAGAGGCCATTATAGAGTATGGGAATAAGGTACTGCCTACTCCCACAAAGGTGACAGTGGTAACCCTAAACCCGGGAGATCAGGTGCTTCTAAAATCTTGGAGGGAGGGCACCCCAACAGAACAATTACAAGAGAGGTGGGATGGTCCCTTTCAGATCATACTGGCTACTCCCACAGCAGTAAAACTCAAGGGAGTGGGACCTTGGGCACATAATTCAAGGATTAAACTCTATTCTCCCCAGGAGGATAATGATATCGCCAGATACCCCTCCCAAGTACACCTGTGAGCCGACTGAAGATCTCAAGTTCGTCTTCAAGAAAACAGCCCCGGCCAACAGATGAGTAATACCGATGGTATAGCAGCTGCTACATTAGGAGTCACTTTTGTCCTTGTTCTCCTTATCCTTTTCGTTTTGGCCTTTTCCTGTCAAGTTCCCTTCTCAGGGTCTGATTATGTCTCTTGGTGTTAAATTATGGGCCTGAATATTCTTCTCCTTCTTGGCCTCCAATTTGATGCTGCCGTCCCGCCCTGGGGAAATAACTCATTAGTTTGCCCGTCTAACAGCGTAGTCCATGGCAGTAACCTCTCTAACTGTTGGATATGCCATCATAACCCAGAAGATGGATCCGGAACAGGGTTCAGATTACTGGGAGTTCCAATTTCCCTTAAAAATTTGACTCAAAATCAGATCCCAACCCCATTCCCGAAACCCAGAGGCACTAAAGTCACCATCCTCAGGTTCACTCTCACTCCTGTCCATTGTGAAGGGGTCCCTGGGTGGGCTACTGCTTGTTATAACCCTCCAGGCCGCACGTGGGACGTTAACACTTAGCCAGCCATGCGAAATATGACGCATAATCATGGCTGCTACCCTACAATGAAATATTTCACTGGCAGCAAAAATCGTTTAACTATTCTTTTGAATGCCCACCAGACCAGGCCCAGAGAACTGCCCTTTTCTGCTTTACCAATAACATTTGTGCAAATATAACTTGCTCTCCTGGATCAAACACAATCTATAGTGATGTTATAACTGTTACACATCCAGGAACTGAGTGTCAGCCAGGCAACATCACTGCTTGGAATAAGTGGTATAAAGAGCAGATAAATAAAAATCCTGCTCCCTGATGGGAGACCTTCCAACGTCAATAATCCAGGATGCAATACCATCACTTCTTGGCTTATAGATAAATGGCTTCTTAGTCACCCTGACCTAAATCCAGATGATGCCACAAGTTGGAAAAATATCCCACAATTGTTATGTCTACTACCATATATTAAGTTTTTGTGTTCTGACAGTAAGGGAAAAAGTTGGGCCCTTTTGTGCCTCAATCTCACACAAGTTAGGGGAATCTGCACAGTTGGGTGGGTGAGGCAAAAAGATGACCAAATTCAGGTATACCAAGAGTTAATGGCTTTATCCTCACCTGGGACTTGCTCTGATTCATCCCGACTCAAAAGACAGCCAATCTAGTAGTGCTAGGAATAACAACTCTAGTGATAGCATCGGAAGCCTTAGCAAGAGGGGTAATATACAGTGCAGTCACTTTATCAAATGTCTCTACCATAGTTGAAGAAGTGGCTGAAGACTCAGGACAGTCTCTGGACTATACAGAAATCCCTAGATTCTCTTGCTACCACGGTGATGGATCATAGACTAGCCCTGGACTTCTTATTGGCTGAACGGGGAGGGGTCTGAGCAGTCGCCAACACTTCCGTTGTTTTTATGTCAACACCTCCCAAGAAGTTGAACTTAGGGCCACCAGATTATTAGAAAAAGCCAAATGGCTAAAAGAAACCAGGTCAAAATTAGCTTCCTCCGTATGGGACCAAATTAAAGGGTATTTACCTTTTCTAACCCAGTTTTTGCCTTTATTGGGACCTGCAGTAGCCATTCTTCTCCTCCTCCTGTTTGAGCTTTTGGTAAAGTATGTATCCTCTAGGCTGCAACAATTCCAAGTTAAGCTAATGATGATGCAGGGTTTCTAACCCATCCCCAATAGTGAGACTGCTGGCACTTACAGGTCTTTAGAGCAGGCAGAGAGATTTTTACTCAGTTAGGCAGGTCAGTGCCCCTTCAAAGCTTGAAGAAGCTACAGAAGAAGAGACCTCCAACCTAATTCCCTTTAAGAATAAAGAGTATAAATCTCTCAAGGGGGACTGAGACAGACAGGGTTAACTGTGCTGGTCAAATAAAAGAGCTGTTAAAAGACTACCACCTAGAAGTTGGGTAAACAGGAACCACATCCTGTCAACATAAAATAAGGTTAGAACAACCTGTAATTACTACTTTGTTAATGTTTTTCTAGTCCCTTTCCCCTTCTTACAGGCTCCACATGCGCAGAAAAACAAAGTGTGACTGCTGTTTTGGCTCACCGAAGGGGGCGACGTAATACATAAGATCAGTGTGCCTGTGCCACATCCCATAATAGGTGATGCCGAGAGCTGCCAAGGGGACTCTGTCTTGAGTATCAGCAGGTGCTATCTTGGATTCCAGATACCCATGCAACCTAATTAGTATGCACTATTACTCCAAGGTGTACCCACCCCTTCGAAGAAACCCACTGAATATTCATTGGTCTATTGTCCCCACCGAACCCATATAAGCCCTAGCCTTGCTTCCCCTTGTGATCTAGTCTTTTGGAGAGGCATGAGCCCTGACTGACTCCTTTTACTTGTCACAAGTAAAATAAACCTGTTAGAGCTGAACCCCAAAATTGTCTCCTGTGTATTCTTACAAGAGAAAGATAAGGACCCATTGAGTCTGGAGGGCCTCCATGCCATCAGTGGTAACAATGGCACAAGCAAGACCACAGGAGCAAGGACTCTACATCACTGCTGCTTTGTATATATATTAAATTAGAAACTGCTGTTGATGATGAACCACATCTATAGGGTATTAACTAATGAAGCTTGAGCTGATGGTTGGAATTAATTAATTGTTTTTTTTCCCTAAACTCTTTATCCCTACATATGGGGTAGGGAAAATAATCTTAAGGAAAATCTATCAAGTTCCAAGTGATTAAAGACATTCCTTTAAATCAACATTATTAGGATCCTAACTGTGTTGTTGTGGTTGTTAGGTGCCATTGGGTCAGTTCCGACTCATACCGACCCTACAGGACAGAGCAGAACTGCCCTACAGGGTTTCTAAGGAGCAGCTGGTGGATTAGAAACTGCCAACCTTTTGGTTAGCAGTCTGAGCTTTTAATCACTGCACTACCAGGGCTCCAAGAAAAATTAATTTATTGCTAGATACGACAAGACGGCACATTTTTATAGTTGGAAATAAGTTAACTATAAGTAGAATTGGAAAGGTAATAGACATTGTGTTATGGATTGAATTGTGTTCCCCCAAAAATATGTGAATCAATTTGGCTAGGCCATGACTCCCAGTATTGTGTGATTGTCCACCAGGTGCTGTAGATCTTTTCACTATGATGTTAATGAGATGGATTGGAGGCAGTTATGTTGATGAGATCTATTAGATTGTGTCTTAAGCCAATCTCTTTTGAGATATAAAAGACAGAAGTGAGCAGAGAGACATGGGAACCTCATACCACCAAGAAAGCAGCACTGGGAGCAGAGCATGTCATTTGGACCCAGAGTTCCTGTGTGGAGAAGCTCCCAGACCAAGGGAACATTGATGACAAGGACCTTCCTCCAGAGCCAACAGAGAAAGCCTTCCCCTAGAGCTGGTGCACTGAATTTGGACTTCTAGCCTCCTAGACTGTGAGAGAATAAACCTCTTTGTTAAAGCCATCCACTTGTGGTATTTCTGTTACAGTAGCACTAGATAACTAAGACACATGGTCAAAAATTCAAAATTTCTACTAACCTTAGGGCTAGTAGAGATACATTTTCTTTACAAATAAATGAATAACCTTTGGGAAAGAACCACTGGCATAAGCCACTTACCTCCAGCTCCTTAGAAGGAATTCCTTGATCCAGTAAAGTCCGTAACATTCGAATGACTGACTTCAACCTGGCACCAGTGTATTTACCGAAGGGAAGCACTTTGATGATGGGGAGTGCAGTGAGCTCCTCGTTTGTCAGAAAGGGATGTTCTATCAAGAAGAGAACAGTTGATTATTTTAAAAAGAATATCCCCTAGAACTGATTTAGCCAGTAAGTGAACTAATTCGAGCCGTTTTTACAAAAGTGGGAGCCTATAACTATGACAGAATTAATAAGGCAATAGAATTAATAGGTAGGCTGATAACTGGAATTAACAAAAGAAAGTCTTTGCTATAGCAAAGACCTTGCACCCAACTTTTAAGAAAATACTTCACTGATTGATCAGAAGTTCCTAAGGATCATATACTTATGGTTTCTAAAGCAGTTTAAACTGTTTCTTTTTGCTTCTCTTGCTGTAAATGGCACTATGTTCATGATAAAAATATACCTAGTCTTGTTATTATGCTATATTCAAATTAGCTTCTAATTCTAAGCTCATGGGGGAAAAGATGAAGAAGATGCTTTAGAAACGTCTTACTACAGGAGATGGCTCTAGGATCACTGATCTCTCCCCTCACTACCCACCCTTGGCACCCAGTGCCAGTATCTCTGCCATGGTTGCATGGAGACATGCAAATGGAGAATTCCTTTGAGTCCTTTAGGAGTTGAGTGAAATAAGTGACAACTTCAGTGTCTTAAAAGAGATATGAGTTTACTTAGTAGCTGCTGTATGAAAACTGCTTATGACAGATGATTGCTTATTATTCTAGAAAAAAGTAGATGGAGAGACATTTGCTGTTGTCTGTGCAAGTGTAAAGGAGCCCTGGTGGCACAGTGGTTAAGCACTCAGCTGCTAACTGAAAGGTTGGTGGTCAAAACCCACCAGCCAATCCACAGGAAGATGTGGCAGTCAGCTTCTATAAAGATTACAGCCTTGGAAACCCTATGGGGCAGTTCTACTCTGTCCTATAGGGTAGCTAGGAGTTGGAATCAACTTGACAGCAATGGGTTTAGTGCATGTCAATCAGTTGATTAAAGCATTTTTATGATGCAGTTACTATGTAGGTGACAATATGCTAGGCATTGTAGGGGATACAAAGCTGTACAAGATACCTCAAGAAGATAGTATCTAGTTGGGAATACAAAATTCACTCATTTGAAATAACTGTAAATGTTTACACAATGGAGCCTGAGTGCAACAGGAGTTAGAAGGCAGGATCGATGAGCATGGGCTACAGGAGTCAGTAAGACCATTGCTGAGACACAAAGGCACCAACAGTTTACCTAAACCAAAAAAGTGTTAACTCAGCTTCTTTAACTTCTTTTAACAACTAAGACTTCAAAGAACAAAACTATGTTCTCCCATAGGATTAGGAGAAAATTTCCTTATGTGAAATAAGAAAAATGAAACACTGGATAGCAACTTAATTTTGCCACTGGCTCATTTACAAAGTGAGAGAGGCAGTAACAGTGAGGATCGACTTGGTTGCTCTTAAAAAATGAGGTTGGGATTCAAGGGTAACAATCCTCTATCTTTGAGCTATTCTACCTGTCTTAATATAAATAAAATTTACTCCTTGACTTCTCATTCCACAATGGCAGAATTATGACTCTCTGTTTCCATTCAAAGTATTTACACATTTATTTGCATGTCTTCCTCCAAGCCACTGAGAATTTTAGGCTACAACTGTACAAATATCTGATTATATAAATGAACACTGATGTTTATCTATAATTTAACTTTATGTATAGAACCAAAAAAATATATATATGGTCAATGTATTTTTCCTATCCATTGTTTTTGATGAAAACACTGGTAATAAAATTCTTGCCTTTATTGGAATCTTCGTGGTTTGTTGTCTCTATTGGCAATTCAACACTTCCCCATGTGATTTCATCATCATCAGTTTTCCTTTCTTGTGACTTCTGAATTACACTGCAACAAGAAAACACATTTGTAATATTTTCTTCAGTTTTATCACAAAGATAAATTTAAATACTATGGCCCTGATTCACTTATTTTCTCTACAATTATTACAGTATTTTAAAACAGATTATCTGATTAAAAAAAACAAATCCACAATTCTTAAAATGTATTGGTAGATCTAAATTGAAATGAGGTTCAAAATAGTTTAATACAGTTTTAAATTTAGTCCCAAAAAGACCCCAAGTCTTTGAACCTTAGACTGAAGGAGCCCTCTTAGGGATGGAGAAGGTGGTGGTTTCATTTCCACCCTTCAACATAGTGGCTGATTAAAGCTGTGTCAGTATATAGCTTGATTCCTTTTGAGCAGCTGCCCAGTAGTATTGTATGGATGTATCGTAAGGTATTTAAAGAAGTTACTATTGAAAGATGTCAGCCTTTTGCTAAAATTAGGGGCCAGAAGGACACTCCTATATTTGGGCACTCAAAGTAATGAAACTCAGTTCAAATTCTTATTACTCTAGGGGTGTAGAGCAGAGGTCATCTCTCTGTTAGGTTGAATGGCTATAAAACATAAACCAGGGGAAAAGCGCTTAGTGTTAAGGTGAGATGAAGAAGGATTATGTAAAAGTCTGAATACATTTTTCATTTTCTGATATTCAGGGGAAAAAAGCAGAGTACACTTGTCTGATACCATTAGTACATAACATGAAAGCAGGACATGTACTAATGTTTCCAAAACATCAACAATAGTGCAGCAATTACGCTGCTTTTATGGTGGATGTTTTCCCCCCTTTCAACAAATTGTGGGTCACAATTAACATTTAATTTGCAAGCTCTCCACCCATGAAATTGATTTTGTCTTCTAGTAAGTATACATTGTCTACAAAGATATATTTTGGAGATTCTTCCATCAAGCACTCAGTTCTTTCTCATTCTTTTCAACAGCTGCCTAGTATTTCATTGTATGAACACACCCTAATTTATTTTGTCTCTATTATGGTCTTTTGCTACTATAAATAGTGTTGCAAAGAATATTCTAGTAGAAATGTCTTTGTACACATGTGAGAGTGAAACCAATTCTTGGATATAAAATTGCTAGTTTGAAGAGTATTTCTTTGACTCTAAGATCCTCATCTTATAAAACACATTATTGTTCTTATACTAAGAAGAAAAATATCGACAATAATAAGACCTAGCCTGGTTGCAGAGGTGTTAAGTATTAAAAAAGGCATCCAAGAATTAGTAAAATAAAAAAATACTTTTATCGTTTTCAAATCGCCATCTGAAGAGATTACACTAATTTAGTCTTTTTCCCTCCTCTCTCCCTCAACAATGTACAAGAGGCACCTGCTTACTGACACCCATATTTTTGGATACTTGCCAAATTTATTGAGTATAAAATTGTAGGCATTTCTACATTAATAACATGTACTCTCATGTCTAAGTTTACTTAATCAAAGATTCACTGTCAATTTGCCTTTCTAGAAAAAACCACTCACTCACTTTGACTCTGGTTATTGTTTAGACCTTTCTTCCATGCATTCTTCCCCATAGTGGAGAGAATACTGCTTTTGGGGGCAATATTATATAAAAAACACATTCTTACATGTAACTAGAACCTTCTTGTAACATAAATTTTAAAACATTCTTAATACTTAACCATACTTCCATAATATACTCAAAAATTCTTATTAAAAAAGAACAAATTAATTTTTAAATCAACATCTAAATGGAAATCTTCAGAGGACTTCTAAAAAAAGAAAATGTTATAGACACTGTAAAAATTATTTGCTTACTTTTTACTTATTACTTTTTCTTCATAATATTCTTCACAGCCATTTATTTTGGTAGACTACAATAAAGAGAAGTCAAAATGAAATCAGTTTATTGTAACAAAAAACAAACAATATCATAATGTTCAATTTTTTTCCTGTGAATTATTTCCTATTTTACTGTTATTCTTCATCTTCACATCACAAAAATACATATGACATTTGATTAATACATTCCAAACTGTGGCTGAGGCATCTTCAGTGGTCCAAAATTTTTTTTTTGACTGGTTCCACTTATTCACCCTTACATTTGTCTTGCTTTTAATTTCTTATAGGAATATTAATAGTAAAGAGGTAAGGAGAAAGCACAAAGAAAATGT